GATATAAGAAAGGCTAAGAAGCATTATAAGTAAGAGAGGCAGGCCTGGTAGCACAGGCCTGTCATCCTAGATACTTGCAAGGCTGAGGCGGGAGGGTGGGAAGTGGAAGGCCCACGTGAGCACAAAGTGAGTTCAAGGCCAGTGTGCAGCTCAGGGAGACCCTGCCTCAAAACGAAATGTAAGCAGAGGATTGGGCTGCAGCTCAGGGATAAAGCACTTGCTTGTCAGGAGCAAGGCCCCAAGCTCCATGTCTAGAACCCCCAGGACCACAACAAAAGTAAAATGAGATGGAGGACACATTGGGGAACCCCACAGAGAAGGAGACGGGAAAATTACAGATGCCCACCCCCTCCACTCTTGCTCCCTATGGTTGCCATGGAGACGTAGCAGGCTGGACCAGTTCTGCACACATGACTGACTCTGGAAGTGGTTCACCCTGGATTTGGCCAGGACTCATGTATACTTATAGGAGGGTGAGGGAGGGCTGAGAACAGGTAAGACACCCCCAAAAGCACAGTCCGGACCTGGACAAGGACTTCCACAGAACACCCAGGATAGGCAGAGAAAATGGGACCTTGAACCAGGGGACAGCCACATGACTATGGTGCCACTATGGTGCTTAGGTAATAAGGTATCCCACCTCCTCACTTGGTCATTCTTTGTTAGGCCTTAATATCCAAATAAACGTGAATAGCCAGAATTTAGTCACATCTGACAGACAACGGTAGATCGGTGAGGGAGGCTGCGAAGGACAGCTGCCTCCTGTCCCATCACTGCTATTGTCTTTCCAGGGGACCTCCAGCGTCTTGAGAAGTTTCTTAATGCCCAAGTTGTTTTTTCTTTTTTCTTTTTTTAAATTAACTCCATGGGGACTGGAGAGATGCTTCAATGGTTAAGAGCATCAGCTGCTCTTCCAAAGGACCTGAGTTCAATTCTCAGCACCCACATGGCTGCTCACAACCATCTGTAACTCCAGTTCCAGAGGCTCCAACGCCTTCCTCTGGCCTCTGAGCGCACCAAGCACACAAGCGGTGCCTATAATGGAGGCAAAACACCCATGCACATATACATAAAACTAAGTTTTAAAAATTAACTTCATGGCCTGGGGAGATGGCTCAGTGGTTAGGAACATGTTGCTTTTCCAGAGGACCCAGGTTCAGTTTCTACCATCCACATGGACCTGATACTTTCTTCTGATCTCCACAGGTTACAGGCACATACATACATACATACATGCAGGCAAATCATTCATACACAGAATAAAATAAGTAAGTCTAAAAAAAGTTTAGTTAACTTCACAAGACAGCATAATGATATATCCCCTCCTGTGCATGCGCGCATGCGCACGCACGTGTGTGTGTGTGTATGTGTGTATGTGTGTGTGTGTGTGTGTGTGTGTGTGTGTGTGTGAGAGAGAGAGAGAGAGAGAGAGAGAGAGAGAGAGAGAGAGAGAGAGAGAGAGGGACGGGGGACTAAGAACTGGACCTAGGGCCCCATGCATAGCAGGTCAGAGCACTCTACCACTGAGCTATATCTTCACCATGGGGGGGGGGGGCGGGGGGAACAGGTCTTTTTTCTTCTTTCACTTTTCAAGGTGAACTTAGTTGACATGTGCCACTTGGTGAATAAATTTCTCAGGAAGCAATACAGGAAGAACTTTTTTTCCCCCTCAGTTTGAAGCAATTTCATTAACTTCTGTGTCATCCATTCATCCACTCATTTCTGCACTCGCTGAAGTAAAACGTGTCTACACGGGGCTTTGTGTGTACTGGGCACTGTGGTGGGACTTAGGGGAGAGCTACAGGCGAGGCAGCCACATTCTAGCTGGAGCTCACTTCCCAATGGAGAGAGTGACACCGGCCAAATGGAATCTAGAAACAGTGGAAGGAAGGTTCCAGAAGAGCCGAGAGAGTGCTCTCAGGCTGGGCGGGGGCCGGGCCTGGAGAAATAGGGGGTATGGGGTAGGGAAGGAAGGGTGCAGGGAGATTTCCAGGCGGAGGAATCCCTGGGAGCCAGAGGCCAGGAGGCACATAATACAGAGCTTTTCAGAGGATAGAAGGGAGGCAGTGTGGCTGTCATGTCAAAAGCAAGTGACCAACAGTGTTGAAAGGCTGGGCAAAGGATGTCAGGATGGAGGGCACAGAGGAACCCCTCCAGGGTCTGGAATTTGTCCAGAAGTGAGTCTAACAGGAGGGTCACAGATATGCCTGATCAAGAATAATTCACTCTGACCGCTTTTGGAGGACCGTTGACAGATAGTATACATCGGTGTGGAAACTCCAGGATGGTTTCAGAACGCCAGGAGAAAGAGCGTGGTCTGAGGTTGGAGAGCTGAAAGTTTCAGTCAACCCGCTCGCTGTAGTTGTGCACATCAGCACCACCCATGTGTGCACTTCAGAAGTGGAAGGGCCAGGTGGGGTGTCTGGATGGAAGCGCTCATGTGTCGAGACATGTATTCCATGGAGGAACCTCCTTGATGGATAGATTCCCAGGAACGGGAAAGGATATTCTTAATATCTCCCGGGCCTGAATATGTTCTTCACCATTCCCTGCCAAAGGGACCCCCGAAGGAGGCCTCCTTCCCCTTTGTGGGGAGTCCCAGTCCATCTCTCCCTGAAGAGTTCACCTAGAGGTTTGGATTCCACCTCGTGAAGTGAGAGACACACTGGCTACACTCTGTTCACACTACTCCACACATCCAGAGATTTGAAGGTCCCTTTACTGCAAGTTTTGGGCATCCATTCAGTATGGGCCAAGCTAATGAAGACCATAGCTGCAACTCTAATCCTATAATACTGTAACTGTCTTCTAAGGTCATATATCTACCCCTACATACACAAGGCTTTGTGTGGGGGGGTATATGTACATGTTCATGTGGGTACGTGCACGTGTGCAGGTGCTCATGCTCCTTTGTGTGTACAGACTAGAAGTCAATTTCATTAACTGCTCTCTGTCTTGTGTGTGTGTGTGTGTGTGTGTGTGTGTGTGTGTGTGTGTGTGTCATGTATACGCACATTGTGTGCAGGCATATGCAGCTGTGTACACATGTAGGCCAGAGGAGGATGTCAGGCACCCTGCTCTATCATTCTCTACCCACTTGAGGCAGGGTCTCTCTCTGAAGCTGGAGCTAAGCTGGTGGCCAACAAGTCCCAGGGATCTTCCTGTCTCCACCCCACTCTCCACACTCTCCACAGCCCTAGGGTTACAAGCATGGGTGCCATGGCTAGGGTTTTTATGTGAGTGCTGAGAATTTAAACTCAGATTAGAATTCAGGTTCACACACTTGAGCAGCAAGCTCTGTTTACCCACACAGCCATTGCCCTAACCTCTCTCCACATTTTGAGACAGGGTCTCTCACTGAACCTGGAACACATCCATTTGCCTTGGCTGGCTGGTCAGTGAGCTCCTGGAATCTGTCTGTCTGTCTGTCTCAAACAGTCCTCCCAGCACTGGGGTTACAGGTGGGTGACACCATGCCTGAGTTTTAATATGGGTGCTGAGGATCAGAACACAAGTACTCATGCTTGCTTGCTTGGCAGGCACTTTGCTACCTGAACTGTCCTGCCGGCCCTCCCTGAGGCTTGTTACACTGATGTCACTGCTGAACTGGTTTCCACCGCCCTCTCCCCACACTTTCTCTGGTGCCAGAGATGTTGGGGTGCAGCTCAGGCAAATGTTACCGGTATCCTCCTCACCCAGTGAATTTCCTCTCTCCATCTTTGAAATCCCCCCACCAGTATCATTTAATAAGTCTGGGACCATTATGACTAAAATTAGCCCCAAACACCCCTTAGCATCTTATCAATAAGGTTCTCAGCACAGGAAGGGTAGTGTTGGGAGTAGGACCAGGATGAGAGAATCGTTCCCTTTATTTCCCATTCTGTTCTTGCAAACAATGGGAGGGATGGCCAATTCGTTTCAATTGATAGCCTTCTGATCATGCCACACTTGAATAATTTGGTTCTTTCTTCGATGTCACCAGTAAACATCCCCCTCCCCAAATCAGCCCTTCAAGGTGTCCATGTGGCCATTGGGCTTAATCTTCCAGCCACTACCAGACATATGGTATCTCCTCAGTCAAGTCAAGCCATTAATAGGGGCTGAACAGCTGAACTCTGTCCCTGCACCGGCTCAAGAAATGAAATGTGAAACACAAGCAGTCACATCTATCCCAGCAGTCCCGACTGACCGGTCTGGTTCTGGATGGCTCTCACCAGAGCTTCCAACCTCAACAAAACCAGAGAGACCCAGTGTACTCCGAGGGACACACCATCCATTCATCAGGCATGTTCCACAAACACCGATGAAATGTTTAGCTAGGTTGCAGGAGGACAGGGGGAAATCCCTGGAAGATGAAGTTTAAAGAGAATTTTACTTAAATGCACGCAGGGAGAAGCGATAAAAAAAATCTAGGTGCTGGCCTCAGGTATAAAAGCACAGCGTTTTTATGTACTAACGGGGCTAGAGGCCTCCACAGGTGGGATCTGCGAAGGTGGGCTCAACCTCGCAGCTCTGTGGATAGTATAATAGTTTATACTACAGCTCGGAAGGTAAGACTTAAACAGAAGCAAAACCATCTCAGCAAAGTGGAGCCAGGAGGGAGAAGGCATGTGAGTGGGGAGCAAGGGAGGGCCTGGGAGGGGGCGCAGACTCCTTCTATGTTCTTCTCTGCCAAAGGTTTGCCGACTTGTTTCAACCTGGCACCCGCGTGGCCCAGAACAAAAGCGCTCGTCTGGGCCTCCGCGTGGGGAGAGGAACCACGCACACCTTGCCCCCGTGTGCAGGAGGCGAGCAGGTCAGCTGCTGCTCACAGAGGGGAAGCACAGGGGTAAGAATGGGAGAGGTAGGGCAGTGTGCCACCACTGTCCTCATCCAGCCTGGCACACATTTGGCGCAGGCCCTGGTGTCCTGAAGCGCTCTCAGGGGTGACTGGGGTTCAATCTCACGAACCCAGCTAGTGGTCACGCTCCAAGTGCGGGCGCGGCACGGTGCCACTTTACCTGAGCGCAGAGGGTCATCCGGAGAAGCCATGAAGACCAGGAGGGGACAGACGAGTGTCCGAGCGGGGCTGGGCAGCCTCTGGGACCCCAAAGAACAGCAGGATCGCCGGGACCCAATCTCCTGCGTGGCAATGCGCGACTCTAGGGCTCTGCGGGCTGCCCTGCTGCTGCTGCGCTGCTCCTCCTCCTCCTCCCTTCCCTCCTCCTCTTGATCTCTGCCACTTCTTCCTCGTGATCACTTCCTGCAATTAGTAAAGCCCCTTCCCGGCGCGAGCGTCTCTCCAGAACTCTGAAGAGGATCTCGTGGTTGCGGTTGGACACGAGAGGACCCGGGGGTTCCGGAGCACGTGTCCTGCCGGTACCTAGGGCCTAGTGCGCAGGTCCCACCACGGGGGCACACGCGATCGCAGCTGGAAGGGCCCTTCAGCCAACCTTGCACCCGCTGCCGCACGCGCGGGTGGCTTTCCTGGTTCCTAATCTCGCCCTCAGCTAGGACACCAAAGCGCTCCCAGCGTGCTCCTTGCACAGGCCCGGGCTGAGACGCCTGCCGGCGATCTGATGTTTGAACAGTTTCCTAATCTTCAGGCAGCCTGAAAGGCTGCATGACCGCACACGCTAGCACTTTCTATTTTGATGTTTCTTTGGCATTAGTTACTGCCTGACCTCCTAGGTGAGCGCTACACAAAGGAGCGGGAAGAAAAGCCAGTCTCAAGGTCTCTTGCTCACTCGTCTGGAGGAAAAAAAAAAAAAAAAAAGCAGTGTAAGGTTCTGTCAGAAATGCAGAACCCATTGGCCTTTGAATGAATTAAGATTTAGTTTAAGTGGGATTTTATGCTAACTAAGTGATCAGAGAATAACCACAGGGGGAAGGTATGTACACGTAAGTCCAGTGCCTACGGAATCCAGAAGAGGGCGTTGGATCCCCTGGAGTTGGAGTTGCAGGTGGTTGTGCCCCTGCTAGGAACTGAACTTGGGTCCTCTTCAAGAGCAATAAGCACTCTTCATGCTAAGCCACCTCTCCAGCTCTAGTGGCCACATCTTCACTAACTGTTAGGTTACAGACAATTTAAATTTAATAGGAATCTCGGAAAGGTATCAGATCATCTGTTTCTGCCCTTGGACATAACCATAGACCTATAAAAAGGAGATGAAAGGAGACAGCAGCCCGGAATGTAGTTCAGTAGGAGAGTGCTTGCCTGGCATGTGTAGGCCCTGGGTTTAAAACCTGGTACTGCAAAAATAAACATTTTAAATTAAAAGTTCATTTTAATCCCTGCCTGATGATGTACGCTTGTATTCCCAGAACAGAGGAGTTTAAAACCAGCCTGAACTTTATGGTGTAATGCTATCTAAAAAAAAAAAAAAAAAAAAAAAAAAAAAAGTGTGTGTGTGTTGTGGGGGGACACGGTCTTCAGAGAGGAGGCTACAATAAAACATGGGACTGTGTGGAAAGGAAGGTCACAGTCCTCGTCAGAGCTCATGTAGAAAGGGAATTATTTTAGATAGGGTATTTTTGCAGGGAATCTATTTTGAGGTTTATTTTGTGGTTCCTTCTGGATTTCCCATGGAGATGGAATTCTGAGGTTTGATGATCAGGTGCCACACATTGAGATCGTTAGCACAGGATCAAGTGGCTTGTTCTTCCTAATGAAATTGTAGATAAGTCTTCTATGACACTCATCCTTCACTGAATAGAAGATGATTCTAGAAATGTGGGTTGCCTTTCTCTCTGTCTCTGTGTGTGCACATGGGTGAGCACGTGCCATGGGAGCAAACGTAGAGATCAGAGGGTAATTTGTCCAAATCAGTTCCCTCCTTCTACAATGGGGGTCATGGGGGTCAAACTCAGGTCATGAGGTTGGGCTGCAAGCATCTCCCTTCACCTGCTGAGCCTAGCCTCGTTGTTCTCTCTCTCTCTCTCTCTCTCTCTCTCTCTTTCTCTCTCTCTCTCTCCATTTCCTCCTCCTCCTCCTCCTCTTCCTCCTCCTCCTCCTTCCTCTTCCTTCTCTTTTGACAAGGTCTCACTCTGTAGATAGGCTAGCCTCAAACTATGATAATCTTCCAATGCTTCACCCTCAAGAATTCTGGGATTACAGTGAGCTGCCACAGCAGACTAAGGTTAATTTTTTTTTAACTTTTATGTGTGGGATGTTTTGCCTGCATGTATGTCTGTGTACAATATTTTTTTTTTTTTTAGAAAGATGGATCTGATGTTTTGGTGTGATTCTTTGGCTTCCGTTCCTATCGACTACAATGGCTGTCATCATCCTGTTCTTCCCCACATGTTGTGTGATCAATGAAGTATGATAGAAAACAGGATTTACTAGGGTTTTAGTGTACAAAATAGTAATCAACAATATTTCGCATCCTCTGAAGTTCCCATGCAATCCGTTTATTGTCACATTAGACTTCTCGGGGTCTGCTTCTGTTGCTCCCAGAGAGTGTCATGCTTGGTAGTGGGGGGGGGGGGGGGGGAATCGCATGACCCTTTCAAAAGTATCTTTTAAGACTTATTTCTATTTGTAGAGGATGTGTCTATGTGTGTGTTTGTGTGGGTATGTGTATGTGAGTGCAGGTGCCCACAAATGCCAAAAGAGGGTGTCTGATTGCTGAGAACTGGAGTTACAGGTGATTGTGAGCCACCCAGCATGGGTGCCTGTGAACCAAACCAAACTTAGAGTGGCAAGTGCTCTTCACTGCTAAACCACCTCTCCAGCCCCTAAAATAATATTTTGTTACGTTTGCTGATTTGGTGTGTGTGCGTGTGTGCGTGTGTGCGTGTGTGTGTGTGTGTGTGTGTGTGTGTGTGTGAGAGAGAGAGAGAGAGAGAGAGAGAGAGAGAGAGAGAGAGAGAGAGAGAAAGAGAGAGAGAGAGCTTGCATGTATGTGTGCATATGTGGAGGCCAGAGGACCGTTTTCAGGAGTCAGCTCTCTTTTCTCCTTGTGGGCCCTGGGGATAGAACTCAGGGCATCAGACTCAGCAGGGAACGTCTTCATCACTGAATCATCTTGGTTGTCCCTACACTTGTAACATTGGGCATTGGTGACATTTTCTTATAGTGCCCTATAAACCGCATCGATCTTGAAGTCCTTTGTTAAGTTTCGTATTTCCCTTGCTTTAATGCTTTTGGTTTTGGTTTTGGTTTTGGTTTTGTGTATGTGTGATTTATTTATTTGGGGGTTGGCATTGCATGTGTCTTATGTGCTTGGACATGAGAGGCCAGAGAAAGATGTCAGGTTCTTCCTCTATTGCTCTTTCTCCTTTCTTTCTTTCCTTCCTTCCTTCCTTCATCCCTTCCTTCCTTCCTTCCTCCCTCCCTTCCTTCCATTCTTCCCTAAGATAGTGTGTCTCTCTGAAGTTCATCATCCTGGTTAGTCTGGCTGGCCAGCAAGCTCCAGGGTCTGCCTGTCTCCGCAAGCACTTGTGGCCATGACCAGCTTCAACAGGAGTGCTGGGGGTTTGAACTCAGGTCCTTTTGTTTTCATAGCAAGTGCTCTTATCCACTGAACCATTGCTCCAGCTCGGTTTTTTGTTTTGGTTTTTTGAGACAGGATTTCTCTGTTGTAGCCTTGGCTGTCCTGGAACTAGTTCTGTAGACTAGGCTGGCCTTGAACTCATAGACATCTGCCTGCCTTTGCCTCCTGAGTGCTAGTATTAAAGGTGTGTGCCACCACTGTCTGGCTATGTTTTGTGGAGGAGTTGTTTGTTTGCTTATATATTGAGAAAGGGTCTCATGTAGCCCAGGCTGGCCTTGAATTCTCTATGTAGCTGAGGATGACCTTGAGTTTCTAATCCAACTACCTCCATCTCTGAGATTACAGGCATGTGTTACTGTGTCCAATGTTGTTGCTTTGGAGTTTATAATTGACCTCCATTTGTCCTCTTCTGACTTGGTCATCTCAGAGCCAAACCAGCTGGCTTTGACTCTTGGGCATGAAACCACAAACAAGGAACCTACTCTGAGGTGGTTTGTGGGACTGTGAACATTTACCGAAATAACAGGGACAGTGGGTATGACTCAGGGGAGGAACATTTGCTTAGCATGTTGTAGGCTGTTGTTCTGATACGAGCATTGCCAGGAAAAGGAAGGAAAGAAAGAGGCAGAGAGAGAAGATGAAGGCAGAGTGAGAGAGGGAAGAACAGCGGAATAAGGAAGATGGAGGAGTAAGCCAGTGGCTGTCCCACACCTAGGTGGCTGTCATACAGCACACATTTTCCTTACAATTTGGGCTACTGAGAGCAGCTTTTGTTTTCTTCAATTTAAATATGAGTATATAATTTTCCCTCCCTTCTCCTCCCTACAATCCCTCCCCTTCCCATCTCCCCTTGACTCCCTTCTACATCCATGCCTCCAATCATTATTGTCACACAGATGTAAGTATGACCTGCTGAGTCCTTTTAGTGTTGCTTGGATGTGTGTGGTTTCGTGGATGACCAGTTGGTATTTGGATAACCAGTTAGTGCAGCCATCCCTGGGGGAGACTATTTCTCCCAGTCTCAGCGTTTCGTACTTGCTTTTAGTTCTTTATCTAGGGGTGGGCCCCGTGAGATTTCCCCCTTCTGCGTTAGCCGGTCTGTTGGTGTTGTCATTGTTCAGGTCTCATTTAGGCAGCCATATTGCTGAGGTATCATGGGTGTAGCTTCTTTGTCATTTCTAGGAGACACAATCTCACAGCAGACTTAAGCTTTTATTGTCCTTTTCCAATAAATGTTTCAATATATTTTGTTTTTACATGGCAGGGACCAGGAGAAGTAGATAATAGCATTCATTGATGATTTTGAGAGGGATTGAACCTAGGACCTTACGCTGAACTGTACCCCCAGCCCTTATTTTAGTTTTTATTTTGAGACAGGGTCCTACTGAGTTGCCCAGGCTGGCCTTGAATTAACACTGTAGCCCAGGCAGCAGTCCTGAACTTGCCATTCTCCTGCTTCAGTCCTCAGAGGTGCTGGGATGACAGGCCTACACCACCAGGACCTGCAAATATTTTCAACTTGGTTTCATGCATCAAGCAAAATGCCAAGCACTGAGGCTGAAGAGATGACTCATGGTTTAACAACATGTATTGCTCTTTCAGAAAACCCAAGTTCGGTTCCCAGCACCCATGCCAGGGAGCTCACACTTGCTTGCAGCTCCAGCTCCACGAGGATCCAACATCTCTGGTCACCACAGGCTCATGAACTCACACACACACACACACACACACACACACACACACACACACACACACACACAGAGACAGAGAGGCAGAGAGAGAGACAGAGAGACAGAGACAGAGACAGAGAGAGAGACAGAGACAGATTAAAATAACAACAACAGAAAAAAAAAACCCAAGAACTGGATGGTACTTTGTGGCTGAGCACTTGCCTGGCATATGTATGATCTGAGATTCAGTTCTCAGCACTGTCAAATAAGTATCTACATTTTAAATTCTAATTCATTATAAGATATAAGTGGAGCAGCTCTGAAGGGAAAGGCTTCCCCAGCAGAAGTATTCAACTCTGCTGCAGCTGGGAAGGTTTCCCCAGTGCAAGTGTTACAGCTCTGAAGGGAAAGGTAACCTGGCAGTCAAGAGCCAAGGAATACCACAAAGTCACACCACACAACGAATCTCACACAAGAGATTTATTGGGAGGGAGAAAAACCAGCAGGGAGCAATGAATTGCTCCATTCAGGCAAAAGAAGGTCATCACTCAAACCTCATTCAAGAGATTT